TTTGTTGCCCCCAAATAGAACAACGATTAGTATAGAGGTGAGTCAAGTGACAGATGAAGCTCAAAGTGCATATAAGAATGTCATTCTTCATTGGGAAGAAAAAAAAATGATCATTGTAACTACCTGAAAGAAGTCGGCTAAAAACACGGCATATATAAGGGGAGATACAGTGAGTGGTAGCCAATTACACCCAAATCATTTAACCTGCACCGTTAGCCATTCATGCCACGTTAGATAATAGACACTTAGAAGCAATTTTAGATATGCTCGGATGTAAAATTCTAGAAATGAAATATGTGATACCAGAGACCAAAGCCAATCCCAAATCCAGCAAGCCAGGTGGTGTTGCTGGCCTAGCCCAGCTCTGCCACCCGTAGGAAGTGCATCAAAGGGATTAAAGAGATTGAAACAAATAAATGCACCTCTTATTTAGCATGTCAATCACCACCGAGTTGTGCCCTTAGCTATTCTTAATTTGAGAGTTTCTATATGAATTTGATGAAAAAAATAGAAATGTACCGTAGCAGCCGGGCTAATGTTGAGAAAGGTGAAGAATTGTTGATTGTACTCCTGCAACCACGAGCTTCACCTTTACCTCTCCCTCAAGATGCGTTGTTCCTAAAGTTCTGCCCGTCATCTCTGTTTTCATTCTGGTCGATAGAGTACTCCCTCTCTTTTCTCTCTCCGATCTACGATGTGTGAAGCGCGGCTTCCAGAAGAAGCCTTCGACAATACCCCTCCTAGAATCCATCACAGTTCCTCCTCTGTCGCCGATGCTCGACCGCCGCTGTGTCATCACTGCAACCCATCTGATTGAAAAGTCAATCTCCCTTAGTTCTCTCGCTATGTCTGGTTGCCTGGGATGTGCTTTAGGTTTATCTCCGTGTACTCCAGAATGGCGTGCAAAATCCCAGACCAAAATCACGAGTACTCCAAAGCTTCTCTCGTGTGAAATCCCAGACCAAAATTTCGGGAACCTTTCAAAAGAAACACTAGAAACCCGGAAGATGGGTGAGTATGCATGAAGCAAAGCTTCTCCAGTACTCTAGTACATCTA